AGTTCCACTCTACGGATGCTAATGCAGACCGAATCGACGCGACTTGTCTGGCAGAACGGAATCATGATGACATTGATAATAATCTGGATGTCACTGATGTGACAAATGAGTTACCGACGATGACGAATGCTGATCAAACCTCCTCTGTATCAGGAGATGGAGACGATGAAATGTCAAAATTGGAGACCCCACCCTTGCATATTATCTATGGGTCAAGAATTTCTGTTGATAAGTCAGCATCACGGACTTCATTGTATCTGATGATCGGAGCAAGTGGTGGTGAATTGGCGACTCGTCCCCATGATAGGGAATGTAGTTCCCGGATAGGATATGACCAGTTTTACGACGTGTTGTACATGTTCGTGTGGGTTGATTGGGTAAGGTTTATACTACCGTTAGGTCATGCCACGATAGATAGGGGAATCAAGGGCCTGATGGGAAAGTATAGGTACCTAGTTAGCACGATAGGTCATATCCATGTTGGATGGCGGGTAGGCGTACTGCTGTAAGTCCTACACGTTCTTCCGGTGTGGATTAGGGGATAACTGGGAACCCTAAATAGAAGCGTCATTAACGCTTGCTTTTTGCATGGAGGGATTTTGCGGGCCGGTGTAGAATCCTTTTTGAATGTTTTGTGTTTTGGAAAATCCCTCCATGTTTACATATTTTTGTTATGACATGACGGACCTTTTCTGTTGACATTTTGGTATTTTATTTGATTCCAATTTGAGATTTTATCATTGTATATTGTTATTATTTCTATATTTTGTACTTATATTGAAGTTTTTATGTTTGCTCCTGAACTGTATATATGTTGTTTAAATTTGATCTTTAATATGGCCACAGCCATATTTGGATTGATACGGTGGCGGTTGGACTTAACGTCACTTATCCCCCTTTGCCTTGGATACTCTTCGGAGTAATTGTGACCTGGAAAGTGCATCAACTCCAGGTATTGCTTTGTATTTCCATCTTTTAATTAATATAGACCGTTTTGTCCTAGGATTGTTGTGTTTTTAATATTGGACCGGGAGATACGCGTTCAGATTGCACTTGTTGGAAACCATTTGAACTGCTACGGTAGAAATCCATTTATATCGAGGTCTAAATTTTTGTGTGACGTGGAAGCAGCCACGTAGTTGTTGTAGTTGAATTTTCTACCGTAGCAGTTCAATTCGATTCCAATAGACGTATGTCGAACGCACTTTCCCTTAGTCGAATATCAAAACACAATAATTCTAGGAGAAAGTGGTCTATTTATATAAAAGAAATGGAAATACAAACATTTACCTGACAATTATTACGTCTTCCAAGTCGAAATTACTCTGATGAGTATCCGAGTTCAAAAGAATAGGTGAAGCTAGTATACTGCGACGATATCAATCCAAATATGGCTGTAGCCATATTAAAGATCAAATTTAAACAACATATGTACAGTTCAGAAGCAAACATAAAAATTTCAATATAAGTACAAAATATAGAAATAATAACAATATACAATGATAAAATCTCAAATTGGAATCAAATAAAATACCAAAATGTCAACAGAAAGAGTCAGTCATATCATAACAAAAATATATAAACATGGAGGGATTTTCCAAAAAACAAAACTTTCAAAAAGGATTCTACAGTTGTCTCGCGAACTAGTCTGCGCTACAATTTTTTCTGCTATAAAGGCAGCCTGGTTAAGTAGCGTACTCTCGAGCAGAGCGGTTCATTTGTGCTGCTTGTGTCTCGAGCTACATTTCCCTGACTGTCAGAGTCGGCCATCGTAGGTCCTGCCAAGGATTGCCGGAGCGTGAGGTGGTTGATAGGTTTAGCATCACCCGGGGGCTGACATGCTAACAATGTACTCTATAGATTCTCCTCCGATGGGATAAAGTGTCTGAAAATCGCCTGTTTGAGACTATCGTAGGCATCTGGTGTAGAAAATTCACTTCTGTGAACCTTGATTTCGGAAACAGTTCGAAGTCAGAGACGCGCCTTGCCCAGTCCAATTTAAAAACGCAAGTTTTCTGGGTAAGAACGGTTCTATTATTGATCAAAAAAGGAATATAGACAATTACCTAAACAATATTATACTGTTCCGATCCAAAATTAACACAATGAGTTTCCAATTCTGGAAGAATGCGTCATTCCAGTCAAGTTACCGCAGAGGTATCAAATCCGATATGACTGTAACCATATTAAGTATCAATTTAAACAACACATTCACAGTTTAGAAGGAAACATACAAACTCCAATATAAGAAAAGAAAATAGGAATTATAACAAAATACAAACATTAACATCCCAAAATGGCACTAAACAGAGTATCAAAATATTGAACAAAAAGAGTCAGCAAGATCAGAACACAAATATATAGATGGAGGGATTTTCCCAAAAACGAAGCCTTCAAAATGGATTCTACATACGGCACGGTAGGATTGAGAACCATCTCACGGACAGAGGCTATATGGTCCCCAGGGAACAACTACAGGACATAGGAATTTTCCGCTGGTTTGTGATGCGCTGGACCTCAAATTGAGATTCTAGTGCAGCGAACCCGACCCCTGGGTCGTGGGGCATGAAAGCGACAAGTCGAAAATTAATGACCTGTAACTGGGAGTCTTTTAGGTTTTCGTCATTTTTAGGTCTATCCACCACTTTAAAACGCTGTCGCAGATAAAATATATGTAATGAAATATCGATATATGTTATACAATTGTTAAAACAGTAAAAAAAGTGGATCGAGAAATGATATACTCACTGTAGTTGATGCATGTTCGTTTTCGTCGCTCACCAATTATAGTGAGATGAAACTATCATTCGCGAGATTACCAAGTTAAATCGCGATAGATCCAGAAATCAGAAAGAAGACAATAACTGCATAAAGAGGGGTTTTGATTCGTGGTCTCGTGATATCGAAATAATATCAAGACCGGAATAAAGAAGCAGCTAACAACCAACGGGCAGAAACGTGGAATGGGAGTGACATACTTGGCGCGCGATCTATAGTCCTTAGTGTAGTAAAGCAAATGGAGTACAATGGAACAATTATTGTTAGAATTAAGTACAATAATAAATGTTTCCATTTCAGCAGTTGTGTTCTCTTCGTCAAAGTATGCCACTATACTTCCATAAGTTACTCACACAATGAAGAGTGAAGGTGTTCATGTGCTTGTATAATCTTGCATATTAACCCCTGATAACCTTAGAATATTCGAGTCTGAAATCAGTTAATTGCTGTGAACTGTGTTCCATTATGCATTTCGTTTATGCTGTCCGTATTCTCTTTTTCACTGCATGTAGACTGTGTTGGACTTAAATTTTACCTGTTTACATTTCATTAGTATATTCTTTGTGGTTCGCTTAATATATGACCTATCTTTCCGAAACGCAAGAAATATTTGCATATCCTCAAGCAAGCGGGATACAAATGTGATTGAATTTTTTCAGAGTTTGACAATTCCCTTCATTTTCTAAACGAATTGGAATAGTTATCCATCTTGTTTATGTTATATGTTTCGGAACTTCTTTACTTTTCTACCAGTCATATTCTGGTATTATTCTCATCTTGGAACAAATGCATGACGAGATTCCGCCTTTCCCTAAGTTGTAAATAACTGAATCTATTAACTGGAGGAACCATTGTTGACTATTGCTGAAGTTCCCGATGAGGAATGATTACAAGTTTATTAATATGAAGTCGGTGATGGAATTATTTCAAAAGGAATGTAGGACAATGAATGATACTCAAATTTACACAAATTTAGACAGAAAATTATACCGGATGTTACTTGGATTGTTTGAAGGATTAGTGTCCCATTCTTTCGTCCTGCATTCCACAACCATGTAAATAACACTGCCCAAAATGATATATATATGGTCCAAACAAACAGAAGGATCGACTTATAAGATTGTTATGATCTTTTAGTTTGGGCAATAGTGTATATGAGGGCGGTAATTGATATTACACATATTTAGAACAGATCAGTGACTAAAGATCAAGGATAAATTTAAACTATTTCACAGTCAGTAACAATGGTTGTATAGATGAAATGGCTCTGCGAAAAATGGTAAAAATAAAAAGTTTTTGAAAAAAGATAAATCTTTGACACATCCGAATCTATGATTGTTGGCTTAAACAAGCTGGCTCACTAGTGCTTTCTAAAATTTAAAAACTGAAGTGAATAAACATTAAAATTAAATTTCGTGAGTTACTGAAATAACTTCAGTGTTTTTTAAGTTCAAAGCAAATGTTTGTAGCCCGAGGGTTTATGTGAAGTGGGACGGCGGTGTCTCAACTGGCTGTTTCGTTCGCGGTATTTTGAGTTCGTCTTCCCATCGTTTTCTGTTTCATCCTTTATTTACACTGTCCTTAAAATCATCTCACTCTTGCTTTAAAGTACGGCATATAATTTATTTAAGAAACGTATCCACCTTTAGGTCCCAAATATTCACCTTTTTAAGAATAGTAGGCCGTTAATGTATTACCCTTCCTATGTGCGATGATTTTTACTAACCTACGGAACGATTTTCGTAAAACAGTCTTATTACCACGTATTCCCTCATCTTTTTGTTCATGTAGTGTATACCTAAGTTTTAAAGCTATATAAATAATATGGTGCAAAGTTTATCAAAACTGAAATACATTAACCCAATACATTACACTGCCTAAATTTATCAAACGAAATGTTCTAATTGTTATGTTTCTGTTTTGTAGATCTTGAACAAACTGTAAATTCTAGTTGAGTCTAATTCTCAGATCTTCAAATGGATCAAACTATGGATCATTCACATATTGAAAGTGAACGAGAGTATGTAGAGTTTCTGGATGAAACAGTATGTTTTTGTGTGCATATATGAATTTTTACGCTTTTAGGATGAGTATAAAGATCGTATCAATTCGTTAATTACTCGTGACAGTATTCGTCTGATGATCAATATTAATGATTTACGTCGTCAAAATCCTGGAAGAGCTAATAAGTTAGTCAATTGAATTAAAATCTTATCTGTTAGACTCTTAGAAAATGCCTGTGTAGAAATAGTAGCTTGTCAGAAAGCACTCAAAAAATGCGTTCAAAATGCAAATCCAGATTTTGCTAAAACAAAGCATGAATTCTTCGTTGGTTTTGAAGGAAGGTTTGTTTTGGCGAAATAAATTTATTTAATTTAGTTTCGGATCACGTCATGTAACACCTCGTACACTAAATTCCAAACTATTAGGAAATATGGTTTGTTTAGAAGGCATAGTAACAAAAGGTAATATTAAATATTTTCATCATTTATCCGGAAGCTTCACATATACATCCTAAAGTTGTATGTAGTGTACATTATTGTCCAACTACAAAAAAAACAATTGAACGTCGATATGCTGATTTAACAAGTTTAGAACCATATCCATCAGTTGGTGTATATCCAATAAAAGATGATGAAGGCAATTTATTAGAAACTGAATATGGATTATCCGTTTATAGTGATCATCAAACAATTACAATTCAAGTATTCTACTGCTAGTTTGTAATTTTTTTGATCATTTATAGGAAATGCCAGAAACTGCACCAGCTGGTCAGTTGCCACGTTCTATTGATGCATTACTTGACAATGATTTAGTTGATGCTATTCAAGTAAGTATTTCATCTGAATGAAATTGTTTATATAGAATTTTTATTTTTAGCCTGGTGATCGTGTACAAATTGTTGGTCATTATCGTTGTTTACCAGGTAAAAAAAATGGTTTTACTACTGCAAATTTTCGTACTGTCATTATTGCAAATAATGTACAATCATTAAGTAAAGAAACTGGTCCAAATTTTTCAGAAAAAGATATTAGTATGATGCGATTAATTTCAAAACGTAATGTAAGTTTTTTTTTAAATGCATGTAATTTTTATCTATTTAAATAAATTGACATGATTGTTGATCAGATATTGAAAATGTATGTACTACTCTATGTTAAGGAACCTTAATAGTAACAATTTAACTAAGCATGACATCCTGACTTTATAAAATGGTTACTACTACATTCTTCGGTTAATGTATGAACTATGTGTTTGACACAACATATCTCAACCCTGATTGGAAGTTTGGTTATAAGCTTTTGAAAAATACTTTACTTTGTTTTCCCAAGCAATGTAGTTCGTTGAAGTTAAGTTCTTATGTCAATCAATCAACAGCAACGTCGAACTTCGTACGTACATACGTACTTCAGATCAAGTTGCCGTAACACATTAGCACAGAGGTGCAGTTGTTAATTCAAATCCCATAGGGGTAGAGGTAATAAAACCCGACCGAAGCTGCTACCTTAACGTGGTGGTCGGGCTTGCCTATCGTGATGACCCAACCGAGCTATATTGGCTGGAACTTATGTTCCTGTAGGTTCTACCATCCCAGGCAGGTCGATTGGAGAGTGATGAGACTAAAAGCAGCTACTCAAGGTCTTGGGGCGAAGTTGTACTGTTGACTGCAGAGGGGTGTGACAGCAGTAAGGTGTTTCCCTTGGACAACCAGCATCTGCAGCGATGCTACCTTCTTACAAGGAAGGGAGGGGTTAGAAAAGTCGACCATAAAAATGTCACACCTCACCTTATCTCACGGATTTCCGTCTCCTTGGGTAAGGGTGCCCACTAAGGGCTTTCAAGTGCGGAGCTAATCCTCAAAAAACTTCTCATATAAAGACTGCGTGACCGGTCTCAAGCAGTTGTCCCTTCGGCTCTGCGGTCACGTACCCAGGTCTCTAAGACCAACACTAATCGATCTTCCTTTTCAGGTTCGTCAAGAAACAACCTTCCACGGCGTGGGCAGCCGGGAAGTGATAACCGCCCTCATACCCGTAACGGTACGAAAGACAAAATTGGTCGAAATCAAATCCTTCCTACACCCCCTATTATTTCTCTTATCTCCACGACTGAGAGGTAATAAAAGTATTAGCAGTAGTCGGAGAGGTTAGGATTAGAAGATATTTTTCAAGAAGTAAAATCTAATGAAATAAATTTAAAAAGAAAAAGATAAAGGTGATGAGGAATTCAGAAGGTTAGGGTTTAAGAGGACACAAACAATGAATGCACCTGCACCATTTAAAACGGTCTTGAGCCATGTTTTTCAGGGTCTCTAACCATCGAATACTCTAAGTTCTTATGTGATTAAAACATATCGAACCTAAGTAGTATGAATGCATAGAAAACGAATATTTATACAGTAGGATAATGTTTACAAAGTGAAAAATAAAGCGGTGACATCATCCAGTCATTTTAAACAGAGTCACACAGTTGACAAATGGGGGAGTTTACACCCTCTCTTAAGTGAATAAGACCAGTGGTTAAAGCTCATGTCAGTCAACAACAACAACAACATAGAACTTCGTACGTACATACGTACATCAGTTCAATTTGCCATACCATATTAGCAAAGAGAGATGTAATTGTCAATTCAAATACTGTAGTAGTAATGGTAGTAGAAGTATTAGCAGTAATCGGAGTAGATTAGGGTTTGAAAATATTATACAATAAGTAGAATCTAATCAAATAAACTTAAAAAGAAAAAGGTAAAAGTGATGAGTAATTCAGAAGGCTAGGATTTAAAAGAATGAATGCTGCACCTGTGCCATTGCAAACAAACTAACTCGCTAAAGCTCATGCATTGATATCTTATTTTTGATTGAATCACATCACAAGGTATGGGTGGTGGTTAGACTAATTAATAATCACTGTATTTTTTTTAGGTCGTAAAAAACTTGACAGTAGCATTTTAATTCCTTCAAGAAGTAGTTTATAAGACAGATTTCAAGGTATTTGTCCAATAAGTTAGTTGTTTGTCTAAACCATTATTCACAACAGCCTGTTTTGCTGTCAAAAATCATTTTCATGCCCTTTGGGATTTCTCGACAGTCTTTTTTTTTGGTATATGCTAAGTATACATATACCAAAAAAAAAAACCTGCGTCACTTATGGCGTAGGCGAGATATCCGTTTGCTGACTAAAGGACGAGTGTACTGCGCAGTGGTTCGCTCCGTCTTACTTTATGGCTGTGAAACATGGCCAATGAGAGTAGAAGATACTCGTCGGTTATTGGTTTTCGATCATAGGTGTCTTCGAAGCATTGCTCGTATATCGTGGGACAACCGAATGAGCAACGGTGTTATTAGGAAACGGGTACTAGGTAAGAATGGCAGATCAATAGATGAAGTGGTGAAACTTCATCAGTTGAGGTGGTTGGGACATGTGCTGCGTATGCCTAACCACCGATTGCCTCAACGAGCCTTGTTTTGTAGTGTAGGAATAGGTTGGAAGAAAGCTAGGGGCGGCCAGACCAAAACATGGCATAAATCCATGAAGTCATTGACAAGTGGACTTAGCCATGTCGGTAATTGTCGACTACCTGGTTGGGGTCCGCGAGATGATAATAATCGATGGCTAGAGACCTTGAATGACATGGCTCAAAATCGTTCGCAATGGCGCCGGTGCATTTATTCTTTGTGTTCTCTCAAATCCTAATCTTCTGGATTCTTCAACACCTCTAGTTTTTTACTTTCTAAACTTATCTCATTGAATCATACTTCGTGAATAATATCTTCTAATTCTAACCTCTCCGATTACTTCTAATACCTTTTACTACCTCTTCTACTATTGGATTTGAATTGACAATGACATCTCTGTGCTGATGTGGTATGGCAACATGAACTGATGTACTTACGTATGTACGAAGTTCTACGTTGCAACTGACTGACTGACTGACTGACTGGTATATGCTAAGAGCAATTTCATATACATTGTAAAATACATTCTTTTTTTATAATTTCTACTTAACAGGATGTTATTAATCTTTTAACTCGTTCTATTGCACCATCAATATGTGGTCATGAACATATTAAAGAAGCAATTCTTTTGTTACTATTGGGAGGTGTTGAACGTCAACTTACTAATGGTTCACGTATTCGTGGTGATATCAATCTTTTATTGATGGGTGATCCTTCAGTTGCAAAATCACAATTTCTACGTTTTGTTCTTTATATTGCACATCGTGCTATTGCTACAACTGGTCGTGGTTCATCAGGTGTTGGTTTAACTGCTGCAGTTACAACGGATATGGAGACTGGTAAGTTAAGTTAATGTCTATTCTTTTTCACAAGCTGTATAGTCAATAGTCTAAAACAGATGACAGTATCTTTCCACGGTCTGGGCAGCCGGGAAGTAATATCCGCCCTCATACCCGTAACAGCACATGAGACCAAATGGATCACAATCTAATCCTTCCTGTGTTTATGTGGTATGGTAACCTGAACTGACGTACGTATGTACGAAGTTCTACGTTGTAACTGACTGACTGACGACGAAATAAAAACTCACCAGAAACAAATTTTCATACTTGGCTCTAAGCCGCCATATTCTGTTAAGTGTATTAGCTAATAATACTACTCAGTTACCTTAAACAAAATAAGAGGAATGGGGTTCGAATCTATAACTCAGTGGCTGAACTTAAAACGTCTTAACTATTAAATGACTAGTACATCAAAATAGTCTTTTTAGTAGTGTACGTAATGTTACTCAACATATATCTGTGGCCACTGTAAACAGTTTCCCGGGTTCAGGCAGTCGCAGCGTCATCTGACGATCGTCTAGCATGTTTTTGATTCGGTTGAACGTTTGTTCGGCAGCCTCAGTCCATGTAAACTTGGTGTTGCTCAGCAACTTATATAAAGGCGCTTCTGTTTCATTGAAGTTCTTGACAAACCGACTATAGAACGCCGCTCTTACCAGGAACTGTCTCAACCTCCTTTTCGAATTAGGTACTGCAATATTTTTTATGGTAAGAATTTTCTCTGGTAATGGCTTTATTTCTCCATTTCCCACTTTATGTCCCAACAATATGACGCTGTTTTTCGCTATCTGCGACTTTTCCTTATTAATTCGAAGCCCAAATTCGTCAATTCGCTTTAAGACCGCTTCCACATGCTTGACGTGATCTGTTTCTGTCAGGCTGTATACAACTACATCGTCGCCATATACCTCTACATTATCTAGATTCTTAAGCAGCAGCGTCATCAATCTTCTGAACGTGAACGGTGCACCCGCCAACCCGAACGGCATTCGTTTAAATCGATACTGTTTGTCCCGTATAGTAAATGCTGTCTTGTTGCGATCACTATATTTTATAGGTAGTTGCCAATAACCTGACCGTAAATCCAGCACTATAAACACCGTGGCATTCTGTAGCCGATCTAATGTTTCTACTACTGTTGGCATTGCGCACGGTTTCAGGTCTGTTATATTATTTAGTTCCCTAAAGTCGACGCAAAATCTATACTTTCCATTGGGTTTCTTTACCAAGAGTACCGGTGAGCTATACGGGCTGTCTGCTTCCTCATTTATACCTTCAACATTTCCTGGACCTGTCGATTTACTTGCGCCTCTAAATGCACCGGGACACGTGTTGCAAATATATTTACTCGGTCGTTCTTTATAGGAATTTCATGCTTTACTTTGTCACAAAATCCATACGGCTCCCCATCTCCAGTGAACAGTTTCGCATACTTTGCGCATAACTCGTTAATGTTTGGTTTCTTGGTCGAGACGTCCGTTTTCATCCTTATTTCAGCCACTTCGCTACTTTCGTGTATTGGCAATGAACCGTACTTTGTGACCATTTTACCGCTTCTCAAGTCAATTATCGCTTTTACCTCTCTTAGGAAATCTGCTCCTAATATCGGTCTCGATAAGCAAATGAGTTTTCTCTAACCTGAAATGATTTTTATTCTAAAATTGTTATCAATTACTGATTCGTTTTAGCACTTCGAAACATGTTCACTTTGATCACACTCTTTCGAATCCCTCATTTATAACAGTAAGACACTAATGTAAATTCCAGGCTTAATGCAGATTATCTTAGTGTATTTTTAAATCATACTTCAACTTACCAAATCAGCGAAGAGTATAAGGCAGATAAAATCGCCATTATCAAGCAGCGCCTCCAATGAGAAAGTAAACTTGACAGAACAAAAAAATTATACGTACGAAAGTATTGATAAGAAAAGCAAAACAAAGATTACAGTTATATGTGAAGTAGTTTTGTCATAGCTGTAACGGGTATGAGGGCGGGTGTCACTTCCCGGCGGCCCACACCATGGAAGGTTGTTTCTTGAGGAACCTGAAAGGGAAGGTAGATTAGTTTTGGTCTTAACGACCTGGGAGCGTGACCGCAGTCCAAGGGACAACTGTTTGAGACCGGTCACTCATGGCCTTTATATTGGTGGTATTTAAAGTGTTAGCTCCGCTCTTGTTTAAAAGCCCTTACCACAGGAGACGGAAATCCGTGAGATAAGGTGAGGTGTGACATTTTTAGGGTCGACCTTTTCTAACCCTTCCTTCCTTGTCAAAAGGTAGCATCGCTGCAGATGCTGGTTGTCCGAGGGAAACACCTTACTGCTGTCACACCCCTCTGCAGTCAGCAGTACGACTTCGCCCTCAGACCTTGAGCAGCTGCTTTTAGTCTCATCGTTCTCCAATCGACCTGCCTGGGATGGTAGAACCTTCAGGAACATATGTTCCAGCCAATATAGATCGGTTGGGTCACCACGATACGCAAGTCTTACCACCACGTCAAGGTAACAGCCAAGGTCGGGTTTGTCATAGCTAGTATACAGACGTTAATTACGTATGATAAACGGTTGGATTCTCTCCCACTAAGGACTCAATAGTACGACTATTGTCACAAAGTGACACTCAAAATCCCATGGTTAGTTCTAGAGTGAAATGAGTTATCTCTCTCTCTCTCTCTTTCTCGAAATTTTATCATATAGCCATACATATATAACCACTGCTAGTGATGAAGTCTTCACTATCCTCGTGGTAGGGATATTGTTTACGAAATTGAGAGGATAAAAAACGAATGTTTGGCGGTTCATCCAGGTTCTTAGGTATGGTATCCCTGATCCCGAGCCAATGGTGTCCATGGACCTCGGGGTCCTGACTAAACTAATAGCGTATGAATGTATTGTTGTTCACTGGCTACCACGGGAATGCATCTCCTAACGTCGCTCCATTGCATTTTGGATTAGATCCCTGTGCAAAAGTTCAAGCAGTGGATCCCTAATAAAACTACCAGCTTCGGTTTGGGCAGCGGGGCATTATTCCAGTTCACTCTGAAATTTAATAATTTGTGGTGCACAAATATTTAGATCAGTCAGTCAGTTGGTTACAACGTAGAACTTCGTACGTACGTGCATCAGTTCAAGTTACCATACCACATTAGCACACAGAAACAATTGTCAGTTCAAATCCCATATTGACAGAGATAATAGAAGTGTTAGCGGTAATGGAGAAGATTAGGGTTCGGCAATATTATTCAAGAAGTATAATTCGGTGAAATAAGTTTAGAAAGAGAAAGACAGAGGTGATGAGGAATATTGAAGTTTAAGATTTGAGACAAGCCAAAGAATGGATGCACCTGCACCATTGCAAACAATTTCGAGCCATGTCATTCAGGGTCTCTAACCATCGATTATTATCATCTCGCGGGCCCCAACCAGGTAGTCTTCACTTACCAACATAGTTCAGACCACGTGTCAGTGACTTCATGGTTTTGTGCCATGTTTTTTGTTTGGTCACTCCTAGCTTTCTCCTAGCCTGTTTTTGCATCACAAAGCATCGCACGCCGAGGCAGTCGGTGGTTGGGCATACGTAACACATGTTCCAACCACCTAAGTATTTAAGTGCCTTTTTGTATCATTGTTTATATCTTTAAATAAAAACAGTAAAAAATAAATCCACACTCTAATAACAACGATAGAAAATTGAAGACTTCCAAAATAGTTTTAGATTCTGAGCATGAGTCACATTCGAAGCACAGCATCTCCGTGTATATATCGTAACAAAACATGACATTGTTATGGGAAAATGAGTAAACTCTATTGAATTGCTGACCAACCAGAACAGTAGCAAAAGTTGTACGAAAATATAAACTTGAAAAAATGTAATTGTAGTTGTCGTTACAAAACAGAAATTATCATATACGAAGCACTAAATAACTTGAAGTCTTTGTAATAATGTTTTTTTAATAATAGATTTCAAAACAAGCAGTATAACTTGATAATCGTCGGTTATTGGTTTTCGATCATAGGTGTCTTCAAAGCATTGCTCGTATATCCTGGGACACCCGAGTGAGCAACGCTGTTATCAGGAAACGGGTACTAGGTAAGAATGGCAGATCAATAGATGAAGTAATGAAACTTCATCAATTGAGGTGGTTGGGACATGTGCTGCGTATGCCTAACCACCGACTACCTCGACGAGCGATGATTTACGGTGTAAGAGTAGGTTAGAAGAATGTCAGGGGCGGCCAGACCGAAACATGGCAAAAATCCATGAAGTCACTGACAAGTGGACTGAGTCATGTCGGTAGTTGGTGACTACCTGGTTGGGATCCGCGAGATGATAATAATCGATGGTTAGAGACTGTGAATGACATGGCTCAAAACCGTTTGCAATGGTGCATGTGCATTTATTCTTTGTGTTCTCTCAAATCCTAATCTTCTGGATTCTTCAACACCTCTAGTTTTGACTTTCTAAACTTTTCTCACTGAATCATACTTCTTGAATAATATCTTCTAATCCTAACCTCTTCGATTACTTCTAATACCTTTACTACCTCTTCTACTATTGGATTTGAATTGACAATTTATATCTCTGTGCTGATAAGGTATGGCAACATGAACTGATGTACTTACGTACAAAGTTCTACGTTGCATCTGACTCACTGACTGACCATCACTCCCTGACTTATGATCTGTTCTATTTTAAGTACTTGGATACACTTCATTATCTTCACACTATATTTCTCAACGTGTAATTTTTCATTGTTACAGCTCCTTTGTACATTGTAGTGAAAGCGATAATTTGTTCTTTCATTAAAATTATTGACTTTCTCTTACACTTTTTTTCTCTAACAAACAGGTGAACGTTCATTAGAAGCTGGTGCTATGGTATTAGCTGATCGTGGTATTGTTTGTATAGATGAATTTGATAAAATGTCCGATATCGATAGAACTGCTATACATGAAGTAATGGAACAAGGTCGTGTAACTATTTCCAAAGCTGGTATACAAGCTAAATTAAATGCTCGTTGTTCAGTGTTAGCTGCAGCTAACCCGGTTTATGGTAAATATGATCAATATAAAACACCTATGGAAAATATTGGTCTACAAGTAAGTAGTTTCAGCATTCAGATATTGTTGTTCAGCTGTATGTATAGTTTGAATTATTTGTTCTGGTTAGCACTTGTTTTTTATCGAGTTAGTTTTTTTTTTGGTGGGATAGGGTAGCCAACCCCATGTCTAACCATCCTTCTTTATCTGGGCATAGGATCGACAGTAGCCTCGAAGGGTCTACAGGCAGAGTTCAATTGTATGAATCATGTATGTAAGTTGTTTAACGTTGAAAGATGACAACTGGCGTGTCACAATCAAGTGATGCGTCAAATCTCGACAGTAAAAGTGTAACCTTAGCTTAAAAACACGCTCAAAATCGTTTGTAATTACTCAGGTGCATCCACTCTTTGTTTTCTCTCAAATTCTAATCTTCTGAATTCGTCATCATCTCTATCTTTCTCTTCCTAAATTTATTTCACTGAATTATACTTCTTGAATAAGATCTTCGAACCCTAATCTTCTCCATCACCGCTAATACGTCTACTATCTCTACTATGGGATTTGAGTTGACAGTTCGATCTCTATGTGCTAATGTGGTATAACAACCTGAACTTATGTACGTACGTACGAAGTTCTACGTTATAACTGACTGACTGATTATCTCAAATTTTACAAACCCGGAGTTGCAAAGTTGTTCTCGGGGATCAGATACACGTCATTAACAGCATAATAACAGGAATTGAGTTATTTAAATCAACAGATAAGCATTATTTATATCACTGTATGTACTACTATAAACAATAAATGCAAGAAAAGACAACCAGGGTAGCAGCAGTAGGTCTCAACATACATAAAGGAAAAAGCAAGATTCTACGATACAACACATCATGCGCCAACCAAACCACTCTTGATGTAGATGTCTTGGAGGACGTTAACACCACATATCTTGGCAGAATTATCGACAACTAAGGTGGATCCGATGCAGATGTGTAGGTGCGGATCGGCAAATCGAGGGCTGCATTTCTACAATTGAAAGATATCTACAACTCCAAACAAATATGAATCAACACCAAAATCATGATTTTCAATACAAACGACAAAACATTTCTACTACATGGAGCGGAAACTTGGAGAACTATCATCCAGAAGATGCAAGTTTTTATGAACAGTTGTCTACGCAAAATACTTCGGATTTGTTGGCCAGACACCATCAGCAACAACGTACTGTGCGAGAGAACAAACCAAATTCCAGGAAGAAGCGTCGGAAGTGGATAGGACACACATTACGAAAAGCACCGGACTGAGTTACAAGGGAAGCCCTCACTTGGAAGCCTCAGGGCAAAAAGAAAAGAGGAAGGCCAAGGAACACATTACGCCGAGAAATAGAGAAAGATATGAGAGGAATGATCAAAAATTTGACAGAACTGCAAAGTGAAGCCCAAGACAGAGTTGGTTGGCGAAAACTGGTAGGCGGCTTATGCTCCATTGGGAGTAACAGGAGAAAGTAAGTAAGTAAGTATTGAACGTCAAAGTAAATAAATGAATAAGGAGTGAGCGTTGTTAAACGTTGAAATATACTAACTGGAATATCTAACTAGGAATACAAATGGATGGACAAAGTAGTTCGTTTGAAATAGAGGAATATGCGTCACAGCATATGAGTCATAAAAATGAATAAAAATAATCTGAACTACTAACAATTTGTAAGTAGTATTGTACACGTGGGATGAAATTAAACTGAAACATATAAAGCATTGTTAACAATGCATTAATATGTGGTGTTTGATTGTTTCTTTTTTTTCTAATTTATTATTTCAGGATTCTCTGTTATCTCGTTTTGATTTATTATTTATTGTACTGGATAAAGCTGATCCAGATTCGGATCGTGCAATAGCTGAACATGTGCTTAAAATTCATCGTTATAGAGGACCAGGAGAACAAGAAGGTGAAGCATTACCATTACATTGTGCTACACATTTACTTACTACAGGAGCTGATCCACTCACTGTAGTGCCTCGTGATGATCATGATGAAGATGTAGATGGTACTGATTCGCATAGACAAGAAGAAGAAGATCAAGTGTATGAACAACAAAATGAATTTCTTTTACCATCTCGTGGTAGAAAACAGTAAGTGTATTACTGTGTTTAACTAATTCCATTAAGATTATCCTTTTTCTTCTGTTACAAGTTAAGCGTAGATATAGATCGTTACACGCTTTTATAACAGAGAAATTTGGAACGATTTTATTCACCCTGCTCCGAAGCATTGCTCGTGTATTCTGGGACAACCGAGTAAGTAATGCTGTCGTTAGGAGACGAGTACTAGGTAAGGTTGGCAGATCAATAGATGAAGTATTGAAACTCCATCAGTTGAGGTAGTTGGGACATGTTTTGCGTATACCTAACCACCAACTACCTCGTCAAGCTATGCTTTGTGATGTAGGAATAGTTTGGATGAAAGCTAGGGGCGGCCAAACCAAAACATGGCAGACAAGTGATCTGAACCATGTTGGTAAGTGTAGACTACCAGGTTGGGGCCCGCAAGATGATAGTAATCGATAGTTAGCAACCTTGAACAACATGGCTCAAAACCGTTTGCAATGGTGCAGGTGCATTCATTCTTTGTGTTCTCTCAAATCTTAACCTTCAGACTTCCTCATCACCTTTATCTTTTTCTTTTTAAGTTTATTTTACTAGATTCTGCTTCTTGAATAATATCGTCGAATTCTAATCTTCTCCGATTACTGTTCATAATTTTACTACCTCTACTACTATGGGATTTGAAGTGAAAATTTCATCTCTGTGCTAATGTGATATGGCAACTTGAACTGATGTACGTATGTACGTACGTACGAAGTTCTATGTTGTTGTTAACTGACTGAAAATTCGTATGCATAGTTCCTTGTGTTAGTTAACTTAATTGAAAACAAGAATAAAGTTTTCAACAAAATATTTTGAATTCATATAGCTTCAGTTAGTTTCGTCAGATTGATAGATGAAGTAGTGAAACTTCATCAGTTGAGATGGTCGGGATATGTGTTATGTAGACCGTAAGGAAACTAAGGGCGACCGGACCAAAACATGGTACAAATCCATGAAGTGTCACTGACAAGTTGACTGAATCATATAAGTAGATGTAGACTACTTGGTTGGGATCAGCGAGACAACAGTACATCGGTTCAACACAATGACAAATCTCACAGTAGTTGTAGTTGTAGTAGGAGAAGTAAAAGTTGTTATAGGAGAATAGATATTTGTATGAGAAAACACCACAATGTATATTCCAGACAAAACAGATAAAAATGTCCGGATAATATGTTTGTTAATCAATTAACTCTATCGTGTAACTAATATTTTTGTCTTTTACACTTCATTTTTTTTTCTCATAAACCAGAGATCAATTAACTATTAAATTTCTACAAAAATACATTCATGTTGCTCGTCAATTAAAACCACAATTAACTAAAGAGGCAGCATCAATTTTAGCTGAAAAATATTGTGATTTACGTGCACAAGAAGCCTCAGAAAGTATGGGTCGACCTGGACGTGGTGAACAAAATCGTATGCGTCGTACTCAACCAATTACAGCTCGTAGTTTAGAAACTTTAATCCGGCTGTCTACTGCACATGCCAAAGCTCGTATGTCTAAAACAGTAACTAAGAAAGATGCTGAAGCTGCTGTTCAATTAATATCATTTGTCTTGTTTAAAGTAAGAAGAAAAAATAACCATCTGTGCTGTTTTTCTTCATATGAATTTTAATGTTTTCAATATTATGTAAGTACGAATATCTTGTACTCTGACTGGTTATGTTTCGCAACCATAAAGTAGAACGGAGCGAATTGATGATCAGTACATTCGTCCTTTGGTTAGCAGATGGATATCTCGCCTAAGCCATAAATGATGCAAGTTAGCAAAAGTCAATCGAGCTTTCTGTATCTGTGCTGAGATTTCGTCAGTCACTAGGCCATCAGCACTAATACGACTCCCCAGATAAGTGAAGCGGTCTACACGCTCAACTACTTCACTCCCTATCACTAGTTCAGGTGCTGATACAAGCTAATCCTGAAACAACATTTTGCATTTTGATGGGGAGAATCGCCTCCTGAGCATGCTTGCATTGTTGCATATGGTGGTCAGAAGACTCTGCATTTTGTCAGCGTCTTCACCAATTAGAACTATGTTATCGGCATATTCTAGGTCAACCAATGAATCTCCTGGTAGAAGTTCCAATCCTGAAAGTTCAGACGAAGATAATGTTATGTCTAGAAGTATGTCTATGAAAAAATTAAACAAGAATGGGGAAAGTGGACGGACACCACTTGAAGTAAAGAATTCCGATGACAGTTCGCCATAAGCTCTCACTCGACTTGTAATGTTCGAGTAGAGAGCTTGTATAAGGTTCATGTACTTCTTTGGTACACCTTTTAATGATAGACACTGCCACAGAACCTCACGATCAACAGAGCCAAATGCTACTTTAAGGTCCGGGAAGACAATTATTGTCTGATGCCTAAATGTATGCCTGTGTTCCAGGACCTGTCATAGTGTGAAAATGTGGTCTATACGGCCACGTCCAGGTCTGAAACCAGCCTGGTTTTCTCTAGTCTGCTCTTCACGAGTTCTAGTTAGGCATCTAAGTATTACCGAGGCTAACAATTTAGAAACTATATTAGTTAGACTTATTCCTTTTGCCCTTTTTTATAAATTGGGACAATCAGTGATTGAGACTAGTGGGTTAGGATTACTCCCAGTTCCCAGATCTTACCGAAGATCTCAGTCAATCTGACTGCTACTCTACCTCGCTTCAGACTTCCTATAGCTTTTTTCAACTTCATAAAGATTCGGAAGGCTTACGTCGATTTTCCATTCAGGATGACTGGAGATCATGGGTGACCGAAGTGTTGCTGAAGGTCATCTAAACTGATCCATAAGGTGTTCTTCCCATCGATCCAGTCTCTTGATGTACCTACGTACAAAGTTCTATGTTGTTGTTGTTGACTGGCTGACTGACGTGGAGATTGTTGAAATGCATAGTTTGTATATTGCAAACTAAGCTAGACAACCGCTGAAAAAACAAGGAGACATTTACCAAGTGTGTTTTGCCTCCACAAGGTTTAAAGTGTAGTAGTAGGACAAATATTAAGGAGTTTTGAATTATTGTCACCTATATTTTTATTGCATAATTAGTAGGTAACTTCATTGTTGTGTTTTACTGTACCTAATAGCTGTTTGTGATACGGTTTACTATCCTGTAGTAGTTACACATTGAAATTATCAATCAATCATTGTTAGACCACCATTGGGAACCTGGAAGCACTGAACGGCCGTTTCGTCCTGGTGTGGGACTACTCATCAGTGGCAGTGTGCATCCACGACTCCTGCACCTTACAGGATTCGAACCCGGGACCTTTGGCTCTGTGTGCGAACGCCCAACCTCTGGACCACTGGGCTGGTATCGAACGGTGTTAACGTCTATCTCTAATTGATGTGGGGATTATGCGTGACCTCACCCATAATTGTCTTCTGTAGTTACTGCCTACACCCGACAGGGTTGAACTCCTCCACTGATCACGTCTTCTCACTAGAACTCTGAGAATTTCCTTACGAAGCTAGTCACTAGTTAGTTGCTCAGTGCTTCGAGGTTTCTAATGGTGGTCTAAAATGTGTTGAAACACTAATCTCCCCCCATCCAAATTACTTTCTTCCGTTTAGAAAAATTCCTAAGAAAACTAGATTGAAAAGTCAGTTTCAATTGTTCAACTATCAAACATATCACATAGCTTTTGTTAAGAAATATTTTTTATTAAAATTCCTGATAATAATCAATATTGTGAATACAAAAATAAAGTAGCCTTTTTCTTTTTTTTTTCTATCAGGAAGTTTTAGAGAAAACTAGACGTAAACGTGATCGTCATTCAGCTGATGACGATGATGATGATAAAGATTCGGATAATGATGAAGACCAAAATGCAAATGACACTGAACGCCGTGATCCATCAAAGCAACCGGCTAAACGAAGGTATCTTTTTCTTTCCTAGCTGAAACTACTTTTTATTCATGCTTCATTTTTTTTGCCCATTCCATATCATAGATGACGACACTTAAACGAAGTGTATCTAACTGAGCTAATCTGTTCACAACAAGTACACAAACAACAGAAAGTAACTATTTGCGAAAGAAAATATATATTCAGAGCTATTCATGTGGTGGTCGTTGTTGTTGTCGTTATGACACGACTATTGTGTAGGGATGGCATATCAATCGATGAAGTATTGAATCTTCATCAGTTGAAGTGGTTGGGATGTGCGTTAGGAATGCCCAACCGCCAACTGCCTCAACCAGCGATGTTTTGTGGTGTAGGAGTAAGGTGGTAGAAAGGTACGGACGGCCAAAACCAAAACATGGCACAAAACCATGAAGTCACTGACAAGTGGACTACCTGGTTGGGGTCCACGAGAGGCTACTATCCAATGGTTAGAAACTTTGAACGACATGGCTCAAAATTGTTTACGATGACGCAGGTGCATTCCAATATTAAGAATTCCTCATCGTTTCTATTTTTCTCGCTCTAAAGTTATTTCACTGAAGTATACTTCTTGAATAATATCTTCGAGTCTTAAACTTCTCCATTACCAGTACGTACATACGTACGTAGTTCAGTTCATGTTGCCATACCATAGTAGCACAGAGATGCAGTTGTCGATTCAAATCGCACAGTCGTAGAGATAGTAGAAGTAATCGGAAAGATCACGGTCCGAAGCGTTTATTCAAGCAGTATAATCCAGTGAAATAGGTTTGAGATGAATATCACGAGGAGTTTAGATTCGAATTCGGGAGAGCACAAAGAGTGGATGCACCTGCGCCATGTCATTCACGGTCTCTAACCATCGATTACTATCATCTGGCGAACCCTAAGCAGGCAGTCAACACCTAGAACCACGGCTCAGTTCACTTGTGCCATGTTTTGGTCCGGCCGCCCTTAGCTTTCTTCCAACCTAGTTTTACATCATAAGGCTCTTACGCATGCACGGAAACACGTCATTTGATATGCTTAAACTATTACGAGTTTACTTTAGTCAGTAATCCGAGTGTCCCAAACCCCAATTGAGTAAAAGAAGAAGACTTGATATGAAGTAGAACATGTGTTCTACAAGCATCCATAAAATATAATGATCTCAAGCACACAAATCACGTTTATTTATACATCATAGAAACATCCTTGGGAAAGCCACAAAAATGGCGTACTAAAATAACACATCGACCAATCACAGCTAAGGATTTTCCTGGTGGGGAATGTAATCTCAAGGTCAACTGATCAACCGATGAATAAAATCCATAATTAAGACATCAAGTGAATTCTGGGGATCTAACGTCCCCAACAAAAGCATCGCTCACCGAGACAGTCAGTGGTTAAGCATATGTAACACATGTCTCAACCATCTCAATTAATGAATTGACAGTAAGTTATCTCTAGTTGTGTACAGTATAAAATCAAGTTCACGACCAACAATTCTTAGTCAAAAATGTAACAACTTAACCACTCACTACACAACTACCTAGTGAAACGAAACTATATTTTTATTTTAAAAATGAACACAAGGTGTATTATGTGTTTTTTTCCAAATTTCCTGTCTAAACATAATTCAAATATGTGATAATATATTAACTTTTTTTATTTGCACCACTTGAAGACCTACAGCTACAGGAAGTCATTTCTCTTCGGATCCAAATGACCCATATGCATTTACAGAAGATCCAACTGTAACTCGAACTGAACCACTTGCAGAAACTGTGCCTATTTCTTCGACTGTACAACTAGAACGCACATCTCAGCTGTCAACAATGATTAGTCGAATTTTCCAAGAACGTCGTGTAGAACAATTAACAGTGACTGAGGTTAGTTATATTATGTTGTATAAATTCACATTCAATTGGTAAGGGTAATTATACATTGGTTTTTAGGAGAACTAAGGAGACTGTTCACATGTTAACACTTCAACGTGAACAGTTTGGCTCAATCTCGTGGCGGAACACAGGAGGTACCTGACAGCCTGGTGGACTATTCACACCAGTTATGTACACTAGTACATATACAGTGATTATTTGCGATCCATGATCGCGTTAGTCAATATGCACTGCATGGACAGCTCAATTTGAACCATACCGTTTACATGACAGTCAAACTCATTATTATTAGCAATGGTGATATCTGCAATACAGAGCACCCCACTGACAATAACCCTTCGGGAATGTTGCAAAACAACCACCAGTATTGATGAAATCGGTCACTATAAACCAAATTACGAAATGGAATATTGATAATATTTGCTAAAGTAATTGTGGTGGTGTTTTGTTCTCTGAGCTGGTCAAACGCCACGACAACGCTTCGCTTATCTCAATACATACCGACAACTATGGACACACATTTGATTGGAACTATGTGGAAATACTGGGTAGGGGGAGGACAAAGAACACTAGAGAATTTTTAGAAGCATAGCACTCAGGCCAATCAGCAATCAACAAACACATCGACATTGACTCAATCTATCAACCAATCAGAAAAATCATAGGATCAAGAAACAGATTAAAAGGGGAGTGCAATCAAAACAAAGTTGCAAACAACGACAAATCAAAAGACAACAGCAACCAATCAAGATCGAGGTTAGCAGAACAAGCTACAGGTCAAACGTGGAGAAATTCGAATGCTTCACTTCTTCTATCTGAAGTTTGTGCTGATGATGTTGTTCAGAAGAAGAACAATGAAAGCTCCACAATCATCCACCTGAGCTACAAGTTTTCTCCACCATTGCTAAAGTAATGTCAAACCATCCCTACAATGTTCATCTTAACGAACCTCTGGCCTCATAGGAAACCTTAAGCTCTATATAGTAATACAGCTAATGGCAGATACATTGTATTATGGCATAGGATAGAAAGAGATACAATCCAGTTTGATGCAAATGGACTGAAACACTCTTATTACCCTTTGTCTCATGTCGGGTGATGATTTTTTTCGCTGTAGAGACATATTATGTATACTGTTTGTGAATGCACAACGTTTTATCAAATATTTCGTGTCGACATTTTAATTCACCTCAAAGATTCATGATTGTTTAAAATTTTGCTCAATAATCCGTTCTGTAGTGGGTACAGTGTACACTTGTTACCAATGACTTACTTACTTAGCCTGTTACCCCTAATGGAGCATTGGCCACTGACCAGCGAATAATTTTTCTGACTGGTGTTATTTTTGCGAGTTGGATTTCTACGGGATGGTGTCGCTAACCCCATGTCCAACCCTCATCCTTTATCAGAGCTTCAAACCAGCAGTAACCCTAGAAGGCCTCCAGGCGGAGTTTTGTTACCAATAACTCTCATCACTAAGCTGTATCTGAAACATTTTAGGAACTTCTACTCCTCGTGCTATTCAAACCCAAATCATCCAGTGTCACCGATTGAAACGTCACCATTGATCTAATTGTTTTGGGGGGTCTGTCAATGGCCCTTTTTTTATTTATAAACCGAGAACTATTTCCATGCAACTGATCAACAATGAGTCAAAGTGACCAATGAGTGTCATACTGCTTTGGTGTATTGCTTTCCTCTGAATATTAGAATTCTAATACATTGATCAATTTACAATAATAGTATTATGCTTGATAACTAACATGCTTGAAACTATTACGAGTTCACCTTAGTCGGTAAACAAGAGCTAAGACAAATGATCCATTGACACGATAGCCTACTCTAATCAGAGCATCCCAAGCCCCCACTAACGGTATTGAAAAGTCTTGATATGACGTAGATAGTTTAAGACGACCTTAAATATTGACAAATGGGAATTGGCCAAAAGAATTAGACTTACAAAATAACTTGTTTACGATATTTGTGTTACACCTGCACGTAAACACGTCAACTTGATATATTTGAACTACTACGAGTTTACCTAGTCGGAAAACGAGAGCGAGGATCCAGCGACACGACATGCCACTCAAATCCGATTATCCCAACCCCCATATTGAGTAAAAATAAGAAGACATGATATGAAGTAGAACATGTATTCTACAAACATCCAGAAAGTACGAGGTCCGAATCCAGAAGAGAATCAGGATCCCGGACTAGAGATCCGGGACCGGGTCCTGGTCCTGATCATTAAACGTTACAGATAATGCGTATCTATACATTTTGGTCGAATAGGAAACAACATCGAAGTCTGTGACACTGACAGTTAAGACGACCACCAATAGGAAGTAAGATTTGAAGTGACATTGATATTCAGGACAACCAATATAAGAAACAACATTGGAGCACGTGACATTGATATCTAGGACGACCATAAAATTGACCAGTAGGAATTAACCAATAGGAAGTGACCAATTATTATTGGTCTCTTAGGATATTGAATATCCTAACAAATAGTCACACACACACAGTAAAATCTCATTTTGCTAAACCTACTTTACATTATGTCTGTTTGATTGTTTTATTTCATTTCATAGATAGCTAATGTTGTTCGATCACAAAGTACCAGCGCAGGTGTATTTACTCAATCGGATATTCGTACTACTTTAGAATATATGCATCAGAATAATCGTATTATGCTTGCCGGTGATGATGTTTGGCTTATTTAGTGTATTTGTTTGTTGCTTCAGCTATTAGACGAACATTTCCTCTCTTTGTGTGTGTGTGTCTTCAGATCATGAATATTTGTATGATTATTATTATTATTACTATTATTATCATTTTTGAGTACTATTTGTCCATTTTTTTCTAATGAGTCATACAGATTTCTTGACCATTTTTTTTGTGACTATGCATCTATGATGATTAATCATCAAACGGATTGGCATTTATTTTTTTTATATATTCGATATCGATAAATACATGTCTTATGTGTGTGTGTGTGTGCGTTCTGATGCCTCTTTATTCTCTGGCTGGCTGAGAGGTTAAATGATATGTAGCAAAGAGAACTATGTCAAATTGTTGATAGAGTATAGGCCTCCGACTAGGGAATTAATTTCTTTCTGGTTAACGTTCTTTTTTTCATCAAGTTGGATTTCAACAGGATGAGGTCGCAATGCCCAACGCTCCTCGTTTATCTGCCGGGCTTGGTATCGGTAGTAATTCTAGAAGGGCTTCAGATGGAGTTAAATAATCTATAGTAATTTACCATCTCACTGGAATGTATTTCAAATCCTTCTTCGATAATTGATCATAGGTGTGAAGTCAATCAGTTATATTCTACGTGCGATCTGAAATCATTGTACACCAGTTCAATCAACCACGTTATATTAACAAAGCCAAGTCAGTCAGTCAGATGCAACGTAGAACTTCCTACGTATGTATATCAGTTCATGTTGCCATACCACATTAGCACAGAGATGCAAATGTCAAATCAAATCCCATAGTGACAGAGATAGTAGAGGTATTAATAGTAATGAAGAAGACTAGGGTTTGAAGATATTAGTCAAGAAGTATAATTCAGTGAAATAAGGTTAGAGAGACAAAAGTAGAGGTGCTGACGAATTCAGAAGATTAGGATTTGAGAGAGCACAACGAGTGGATGCACTTGCGCCATTGTAAACGATTCTGAACCATGTCGTTCAAGGTCTCTAACCATCGATTATTATCATCTCGCGGACCCGAACCAGGTAGCCTATATCTGCCAACATAACTCAGTCCACATGTCAGTGACTTCATGGATTTCTGACATGTTTTGTTTTGGCCGACCCTAGCTTTCTTCCAACCTACTCCTACACCACAAAACAGCTCGTCGCGGTAGTCAGTAGTTAGGCATACGTAACACATGTCCCAACCACCTCAACTGATGAGGTTTTAATACTTCATGTATTGATCTGTCATTCTTACCTAGCACCCGATTCCTAATAACAGCGTTGCTCACTCGTGTGTCTCACGATATACGAGCAATGCTTCGGAGACACCGATGATCGAATACTAGTAACCTACGAACATCTCCTCTTAACGGCCATGTTTCGCATCCATATAGGAGAACGGAGCGAACTGCTGCGCAGCACACCCGTCCTTTGGTTAGCGAACGGATATCTTGCCTACGCCATAAACGGCGCAAATTGGCAAAAGCCAGTCGAGCTTTCTGTTTGCGCGCTGAGATTTTATCATTCACCAGGCTATCAGCGCTGATGAAACTCCCAAGATAAGTGAAGTGATCAACACGCTTTTCCATCTCTCTCGCTTTTGCCACCCACCACTGTTCGCTGTCGTTACATAGGCTTTTTATCAGTCTGCACCTAAACTGACTTCGCTCTTTGTCATGTTCAGAGCCAAATGAAGATATAAAAACAAATATCAGAGTATTACAAAAATTAACAGCGAAAATAATAATAATAGTAATAAATATTAGGCATAAGTATTATTTTTTATGATAAGCAGTGCCTGAGATCTATCAGGAAGAAGCGGTGGAAATGGATAGGACACACACTACGAAAAGCACCCAACTGCGTCATGAGACAAGCCCTCACACGGGACCCTCAAGGCAAAAGGAAAAGAGGAAGGCCAAGGAACACACTACGCCGAGAAATAGAGAAAGATATGAGAGGAATGAACAAAGATTGGACAGAACTGGAGAGGGAAGCCCAGGACAGAGTTGGTTGGCGAAAACTGGTGGGCGGCCTATGCTCCATTGGGGGTAACAGGCGTAAGTAAGTGCCTGAGATCTAAACATATTGAGTGCTAACCTCATAAAGTGAATAGTTGATTGGAGATGGAAGTCTATTTGACTAACAAAACATATGCATAGTTGCTCATTGTTTATTGAAATCACGAACCGACCGATGTTAGAAACCTGAAATTACTGGACGACTGTTTCTTATCAGTCTGGAACTCGTCAACAGTGCATATCCACGTGAGAACACTTAATCATTTAGTAGTAGCATCTGACACTCTTGAACCCGACAATCTCCCCCCTATTAGTGACAATTATCACGTGCTCACTAGTGACTAGCTTCGAGTGGGAATTCTTGAAGTTCTAGTAAGGAGCCCATATCAAGTTGTTGTGGCTCAGTTGTGTTATATTCATCTGTCTCCACATCTTAACTTGGGTTATTCTTAATATTTTCGATATTAAGTACATGTACGTAGGTACGTACATCAGTTTAAGTTGCCATACTACACATTAGCACTTAGATACGCAATTGTCACTTCAAATCGCATATTAGTAGAGGTAGTAAAAGTATTAGCAGTAATCGTAGAAGATTAGGGTTAGATGAAATTATTCAAAAAGTATAATTCAGTGAAATAAATTTAGAACGACGATAAAGGGGATGAGAAACTCAGAAGATTAGAATTTGAGAGAACACAAAGAGTGGATGCACCGGCGCCATTGCAAACGATTTTAAGCCACGTCGTACAAGGTCTCTAACTATCGATTACTACCATCTCTCGGACCCAAAACTTGAACTTAAAAATTTCCCTTTTAGTGGCAATTATCACGTGTTTACTAGTTACTAGCTTCTTGAGGTGCAATGACCAGTTTGACTTAACCGTTTGAATGACTGTAATATAAGTTTATCTTAACTCATGTTATTCATAATTGATCAGAGTTAGACATTACCAACGTTAGATTTCAGCTCAGTGGTCCAGAGGTTAGGCAGTGAGGTAGTGAGTTTGAATCCTGCACGGTGCAGGAGTCGTTGTTGCACACTTCTGATTAGTCCCATAAACAAGGATGAAACGGCCGTCTTACAGTGCTTCCAGCATTCTAATGGTGGTCTAACATTGATCGATTCATGATTTAAAATGTATGCTTAATATTTCCGATATAATGTATGTCATATTGTTTCGTTTTAATGATTAACATCATAAATTGTAAGGAGCTAAGGAGAATCTGTATTGCCTCCACATATATTCCAGTTCGCTTACATTTAATTTGGTTAAGACCTTTTCGATTAATTTATTTAGCCAAGCCATTTGTATTGCAACAATTTATATGTACCATTCGTTCTTATTATTATTGTCTGGTTTGTATGAGGAGCTCACATGACGTGTCCCACTTGTCATTTGACCCTGTCAAGCATTCATCGCTTGTATTCATACCTATTTCGCTTGTCACAGGTCTGTCTTATATTTGTCTGACAATATATATTCTTAGTCATGCTCTATCTCTTGGAGTTGGTTATTAGCCTTCTCCAACGCGCTTCGCCTGTCAGTTCGCTTCCTTCGCCCATTCGTTCGCATTGTAATCCTAGGAGTTGGTTTATTAGCCTTCTCCAATTCACGTCGTTTCGTTCGTTTTATTCTCTACTTTTCAACTTCGCTTTGTGGTGTGTCCAAAAATGAACGTATTCAACATTACGAATTTACCTTCTGATTTATAAATTGTCAGACGCTATTTAGTAACGATTTTCTGGACGATCTAATTACCGAGCATAAGAACACGCAGTAAATCGACACATTACAAATCCACGAAATAAATCAATTCATTTTTTTCTGTTATGATATTTATTGTTTTAAAATCGAAGTTTACACTTAAGAAAAGTATGAGATTTACACCTGAAACCAAATTTTAAATTATTTCAACATAATAGAAATCTCATAGTTTATTTAAAAAATATTCCATCCAAATAGGTTGTTGACAATAGAACAGATTTCTCCGAGGAAAGTGTTTTCATTTAAACATGTATTACGATTTAAAATTGGTCAGTAGTTATCAACGTCATGTTACAATTTCTTTTGGTAAAGTTGGCATTATAAACTCTAACTGTTGCAACTTCATGATCAACACTACATATTACCCAAAGATACTAAATGTATTTGATTATGGTAACTTTTGCCGTACAAAAAATAAGTGATGAGTGTTACTTTGTGCATTTTATGTACTTCAAAAATTCAGTTTACATGAACACCGTAAGTGGATTAGTGGTTTTTTGAGTTGTTTGTAATATTACTACTGATTTATTTATATAGTAGTTTGATTTGTAATACTAATATTATACAAATAGAAGTAATGGTTGATTAGGTTTAATGTAAGTGGATTTGTTGGAACTCGAATTGTCTATAGTTCAAATCACTAACTGATCATAACTATGCCATATTTGAAAGCCTTAAAGTGCTGGATGTCTATTTTATCCTGATCTGGTACACATCAGAGACCCTGTAGTGAGGAATCGAATAGCGAATGTTCAACGTGTAGACCGCTGAATTGATATTCGATAAAGTCAGTGTCTAACTTCATTCAGTTCATGATACTGTGCAACCAGCTTTCATCGCCTGAATTGTATAATTGTTCTACTACTGAGCACTACATTATTTTGAGACAGTTGTTCACTGTTTCTAAGTCTTCTATCGTAGTCTAGCAAAGATCAATTTGTGATTTATACTCTGGAAAAGTTAAATAATTAACATCAAATCATAGTTATTATCATTAACAAAGCATTATTTATTTGTAAGTCTAATTCTATTGGTCAATTCCTACTGGTCGTCTGAATTTATCAATGTCACGTACTTCAATATTGTTTCCCATTGGTCATCCTGACTGTCAATGTCACAGACTTCAATGTTGTTTCCTATTCGATGAAAATGTATAAATACTCTTATCTGTATTTTTTATGACCCGGATCCCTATTCCGGGATCCTTATCCTCTTCAGGACTTGGACCTCGTACTTTATGGATGTTTGTAGAATACATCATCGGACCACTGAGCCTGTATCTAACACTGTTAATCTCTAACTTAATCAATTCACGGAGATGCGCACTACCATTGA